AACACCCATTTATGATAAAAAACTCTCCAGAAAGTGGGCACAGAGGGAACCTACCTCACCATAATAAAGGCCATATATGACAAACCTACAGCAAACATCATTCTCACTGGTGAAAAACTGAAAGCATTTCCTCTAAGATCACGAACAAGAAAAGAATGTCCAGTCTTACCACTATTATTCAACATAGTTTTGGAAGTCCTAGCCATGGCAATCAGAGAAGAAAAAGAAATAAAAGGAACACAAATTGGAAAAGAAGGAGTAAAACTGTCACTGTTTGCAGATGACATGATACTACACGTACAGAATCCTGAAGATACCACCAGAAAACTACTAGAGCTAATCAATGAATTTGGTAAAGTTGCAGGATACAAAATGAATGCACAGAAATCTCTTGCATTCCTGTACACTAATGATGAAAAATCTGAAAGAGAAATTAAAGAAACACTCCCATTCACCACTGCAACAAAAAGAATAAAATACCTAGGAATAAACCTACCTAGGGAGACAAAAGACCTGTATGCAGAAAACCATGAGACACTGATGAAAAAAATTAAAGATGATACAAACAGATGGAGAGATGTACCATGTTCTTGGATTGGAAGAATCAATATTGTGAAAATGACTATACTACCCAAAGCAATCTACAGATTCAATGCAATCCCTATCAAATTACCAATGGCATTTTTTACAGAACTAGAACAAAAAAATCTTAAAATTTGTATGGTGGCACAAAAGACCCTGAATAGCCAAAGCAGTCTTGAGGGAAAAAAATGGAGCTGGAGGAATCAGACTCCCTGACTTCAGACTACACTACAAAGCTATAGTAATCAAGACAATATGGTACTGGCACAAGAACAGAAATATAGATCAATGGAACAGGATAGAAAGCCCAGAGATAAACCCACACACCTATGGTCAACTAATCTATGACAAAGGAGGCAAGAATACACAAAGGAGAAAAGAGAGTCTCTTCAATAAGTGGTGCTGGGAAAACTAGACAGCTACAGGTAAAAGAATGAAATTAGAACACTCTCTAACACCATACACAAAAAGAAACTCAAAACGGATTAGAGACCTAAATGTAAGACCTGACACTATAAAACTCTTAGAGGAAAACATAGGAAGAACACTCTACGACATATATCACAGCAAGATCTTTTTCGATCCACCTCCTAGAGTAATGGAAATAAAAACAAAGACAAACAAATGGGACCTAATGAAACTTAAAAGCTTTTGCAAAGCAAACTACAAACAAGACGAAAAGACAACCTTCAGAATGGGAGAAAATATTTGCAAATGAATCAATGGACAAAGGATTAATCTCCAAAATATATGAACAGCTCACACAGCTCAATATTAAAAAAACAAACAACCCAATCCAAAAATGGGCAAAAGACCCAAATAGATATTTCTGCAAAGAAGACATAGGGATGGCTAAGAAGCACATGAAAAGCTGCTCAAGATCACTAATTATTAGAGAAATGCAAATCAAAACTACAGTGAGGTATCACCTCACACCAGTTAGAATGGGCATCATCAGAAAATCTACAAACGATAAATGCTGGAGAGGGTGTGGAGAAAAGGGAACCCTCTTGCACTATTGGTGGGAATGTAAATTGATACAACCACTATGGAGAACAGTATAGGTTCCTTAAAAAACTAAAAATAGAATTACCATATGATCCAGCAATCCCACTACTGGGCATATACCCAGAGAAAACCATAATTCAAAAAGACACATGCACCCCAATGTTCATTACAGCACTATTTACAAGAGCCAGGTCATGGAAGCAAGCTCTATGGCCACTGACAGACGAATGGATAAAGAAGATGTGGTACATATATAAAATGGAATATTATTCAGCCATAAAAAGGAATGAAATTGGGTCATTTGTAGAGACGTGGATGGACCTAGTGACTGTCATACAGAGTGATGTAAGTCAGAAATAGAAAAACAAATATCGTATATTAATGCATATATGTGGAACCTAGAAATATGGTACAGATGAACTGGTTTGCAGGGCAGAAATTGAGACACAGATGTAGAGAACAAATGTATGGACACCAACGGGGGAAAGCGGCAGTGGGTGGTGGTGGTGGTGTGATGAATTGGGAGATTGGGATTGACATGTATACACTGATGTGTATAAAATGGATAACTAATAAGAACCTGCTGTATAAAAAAATAAAATAAAATTCAAAAATTAAAAAAAAAAAAAGAAAAAATAAGGGAAGGGGTGTTGGGAAGATAGATGAAATAAACACAGCAAAATACTGACAGTTGTTAAGGCTAGGAGATGGGTACATGGGATTTCTTTGTACTGTCTGGTTTTGTATATGGTTGGACAATTTTGCAATAAAATTTTTAGAAAGAAAAAAACAAAGAAACTGGCAAACAGCACCGAATGGGTGGAGAGTTAAGTACAAAGCAGAAATATGTGAGTTATATTTAAAATGCAGGCCTCCTCACTTTAACACTCCGTGAGTTATTAGTATTGGTTCCCATTAGGGGGCGTCATTTTGCAAAAAAATGGACTGGAAGGTGGTGGGTTCTCAGAAAGAAAAAGGAAGGTAGACTTTTCCTTGGTCAGCCTGGGAAGATGAGGCCTCTGGGACTGATTAGCAAAAATCACTCCCTTTAGGGCTGACTCAGGCAAAGCTCTCCTAGGAGGCTACCCTCCCAAGAAAAGTTCCCACTCTTTTTGCTCCTTCCCTGTCCCCAGGGGCAGGATGTCCACAGCATAAGCCCAGGCCAAGGGCAGGAATGTTGAGAACCAACACACACCTCTCTGTGGACAGCTTGCTCTGCAGTGCAAAGAGCACGCCCAACCCAGAGTACAGGTGTTCCCTGGGCAAGGTAGCCAAGTCCAGTTTTATCCAAAGAAGAGCATCTCAGAGCCACCTTGGACCTGAATCCTTCCAGCCCATCACGCAGACCCACCCCTTTCCCAGCTCAAGTGTTTCTTGTCTGTTTTGGTCTGTTTCTAGGGTTGGTCCAAGCCAAAGTTCTCCCTGAAACTCCTGGTCCTGAGGAAGCAATTCATCCTCTCTTCTACTGTTCATGACTTTCTTCCAAGTTCTAAGTAAAGCCCACGCACCACCACAGATGGACCAGCCACCTCTCCACAAACCATCCTTCCATGAGGCCCTGCCACTCTCCACCGCCTGCTTCTCTCAGTAACTGGCTTGAGGCCTTCACAAAGCCTCTTGCCCCGAGTGTTAATTCACTACCTCCTTTTCTTCCTGATCTGAATTTCAGCGATAAGAAGGATAACGTTTTTTAGATCAGGCAAAGAAGAGCCTTAATTCTGTGGTATCACCTACAAAGCAGACACAGACCACCGAACAGGCTGCTCAGAAAAGATCCTCAGAGGTGCACTGGGTTGCACCTGACTTTATATGTTTAAGAAATATGCTCGGGGCTTCCCTGGTGGCACAGTGGTTGAGAATCCACCTGCCAATGCAGGGGACACGGGTTCGAGACCTGGTCTGGGAAGATCCCACATGCCGCGGAGCAACTGGGCCCGTGAGCCACAACTACTGAGCCTGCGCATCTGGAGCCTGTGCTCCGCAACAAGAGAGGCCGCGACAGTGAGAGGCCCGCACACCGCGATGAAGAGGGGCCCCCGCTTGCCGCAACTAGAGAAAGCCCTTGCACAAACGAAGACCCAGCACAGCAAAAATAAATAAATAAAATTTTAAAAAAAATGCTCTATCCACAATCAATCATCTGTTTAGTGGTTGAGAACACCTTCTCTTTTAGTGGGCCAGAACTGTTTTTTCAAGAGATTATGTGCTCAAATGCAGGACTTGGGGGAAAAAGGAAACTGGTTTGTTCCTAGAATACCAGTCCAGTCACAGTGGTGGATTTATAATATAAGCAGGGGCAAACAGGAACTTAATTAAAGTTGAGGGAAAAAACTCCTAATTCTCTCTGTGTGCACACACACACCACTCTCTAACAAATACTACTTTAAAGGCGAAATGTAAGCCCTTTGCCAATTCTGTCATCGTATCCTATTAAAGAAAGGAAATTTGAACATATGTCTCCTATACAGAATTTTCGAGAGAAATGGAAATTCACACTTTTATTTATTGGGTAAATGTTTGTGGAGACTGTCTACACAGCAAGGACCGAGTTGGGCAGTCAAAGGGCTGGAGGCCAACAAGCAGAGGTGGAAAGAACCTGGGTCTCTGACGACATGGCTGGATTGCTGATCTAATTGGCCCTGCAGAAAATACGGATCACAGGCATTTATGCTGCAACAACTATGTGCCAGGAACAGTTCTAGGTCTCGTGAACGCACTAGAGAATCTTGTCTTTTTAGACAAAAATACCTATCCTTGCATTAGGTACATTCTAATTGGACAGACAGACAATAAGCCAAATAAATAAATAACTAAAATATTAGATAGTGATAAATGTTAAGGAGAAAAATCAAGTCAGGGACGGCAGATAAGAAGCGAGGCAGGCGTGGTTATAAGTTACACACGCTGACCAGGGAAGGCCTCAATGAGAAAATGACTTTTGAATGAATACACGAAGGCAGTGGAGTGAGATGTGTGGGCATGAGAGGGAAGGGTGTTTTGGCAGAAGGCACCCAGCGCATTGGCTCCGAGGTGGGCAGGGTGCTCCACGTGTTTGAGGAACCCCCAGGAAGCCAGTGGACTGGAGCGCAGAGAAGAAAATGACGGGATGAGAGTCTATATTAACGTACTAACAAATATTCTCTGAGCTCCTCACAGGCGGCAAGCAGTAAGCTGAAGGCTCTGAAAGATGTGAAGATAAACCAGGGTCTCTGTAGGGCAGCAGCAGAGAGAAAACGCTGCAAGGAATTAGAAGGTGCTTTAGGTCCTTCTTGGAAGCAGTGGTACATTTCTGAGGTCTTTGCAAACTGGACTGGGCACAAAATTCTTGGTATAAATCTTTCCTTATCAAGACTCTCCCTTTTCTACTGTTTGCTGGCATTAAAGGCAGCAAAAGAGAATCCCGAGTTTACCTTTATTTTTGTTCCTTTGACACTGGTCTTTTCCTTCCTGCATAGATGCTTGTAGGAAAAAAAAAAACAAATTAAACCCTTACAGTTCAGACTGTTGCCAGGACGTGTCTAGGTAAATGTCAATTTTCATTTACTTTGTAGAATTCAGGTGAGTGCTTTCAAGCTATACGCTTGAGGTTTTTTATTTATTTATTTATTTACTTGTTTTTTATTTTTTGGACATGCCGTGCAGCATGTGGGATCTTAGTTCCCCGACCAGGGATGGAACCCATGGCCCCTGCAGTGGAAGCACGGAGTCTTAACCACTGGACTGCCAGGGAAGTCCCTAGTTGTTTTTTGTGTTTTTTTTTTTGCGGTATGCGGGCCTCTCACTGTTGTGGCCTCTCCCGTTGCGGAGCACAGGCTCCGGATGCGCAGGCTCAGCGGTCATGGCTCACAGGCCCAGCCGCTCCGTGGCATGTGGGATCTTCCTGGACCGGGGCACGAACCCGTGTCCCCTGCATCGGCAGGCAGACTCTCGACCACTGGGCCACCAGGGAAGCCCCCTAGTTTTTGTTTTTAAAGCCCAGTTTCACTTTCTTATTGCCCACTGCCGTTTTTACTGGTTGTGTGGTCTCTTCTTCAGGAACACTATTTGTAGACTGGTTTTTAGCTTCTGTCCTCTATCACGATCTTTTTCATCTGTGTCATCAGTGCACAGACCTGACTTGCCACGATGTCCATTCTGCTCTTCACTAAGAGTAATGAGCTGGGAGACACAAGTAAGGTTTCCCAAAAGCTAAATCTCAGTAGCAGAAACTAATAAAGGAATGATGGAGGTCGATAATCTTCAATGCCTGCCATGAATCGTGGGTGCAAGTTTGATGAGAAACAGGGCATTTATGTAACTTCAAAGCCTCTCCCTACAGAGCGCTTATTAATTACAAAGGGAAAGAATAACCTCACAGAGGAAACACATGTCAGACACCACCTTAATCAAACGATCAAAGCCAGCATCACCGACTTTGGGACAAATGGACAATAAATAAATAAGAACAAATGGACATCGGACTCGCAACGTGATGCACGGAGAGGCGCACGTCAGTGCGGTGATGTTCTTGCCAAAAAAGCGCAACCTGAATCTAACCATGAGGAAACCTCAGACAAACCCAAATGGAGGGACATTCTACAAAATAGCTGGTCTGTACTTCTCCAAAGATGTCAAGGTCAGGAAAGAGAAAGGCTAAGGAACTCTGTGAGATTAAAGGAGACTAAAGGACTGGCAATGAAATGTAACCTGTGATCCTGGGTTGAACTGTGGACCAAGAAACACATACAGCTTCACAGACACTACTGGGACATTTACTGAAATTTGAATATATATTGTGGGTTAGGTAATATGAAATGTTAATTTCTTGATTTTGATAACTGTACTGTGGTCATTGTAAGATACTGTCTTTCTTCTTAAGAAATACATCTGAAGTATTTAGGGGTAAAGGGACACAATGTTTCCAACTTACTGGCAAATTGTTAAGAAAAACTCATATATACTGCATGTGTCTGTGTGTGTGTGTGAGAGACAGAGAGAGAGAGGGAGAGAGAGAGAGGGAGGGAGTGCAGGGTGGGCAAGGGATGGGGCAAAATCTCTGGATCTAGATAAAAAGTATATGGGAGTTCATTGTATTATTCTTGCAATTTTTCTGAAAGTTTAAACTTATATCCAAATAAACAGTGAATACTGTGTAGTAGGAATTGAAATCAGCACTGGAGGCAGAATGGAGTAGCAACAGGCTATATGATGAGTTTTGGGGTCTACACAGGTATATTTATAAGATGGAGAAACTATATAATTTAAAAAGGGAAACTTCGATGAATGTTTTTAATCGAGAACTGGCAGGCTGAGCAAAGTCAGGCTTCTCAGCTCTCAGCTCAGCTACTTCTTCGGAGCAGTGAGACAGTCACCCTTTAGGAGGGCTTCCAGGCCCTGCCTTCCATTAGCCATTGGATACAAAGCTCTGCACCTTGCTTCTGAGTGGGGCCCAAAGCTTAGTGCTAAAACAGGGTGTTCACTATGGTTAAAAGAAGTATTCAGTCATCATCTAGAAAGCAAGTTACAGGTGTGCACACACACAGACAAGAGACTGAAATAAAATGCTTGTGGGTTGTGGGATTACAGGTCTTTTTCTGTGTACTTTTGCATTTTCCCAAGTGTTCTACATACACGTGCATTACTTTTCTGGTTTCAAAAACGATTTAATGAGGGACTTCCCTGATGGTACAGTGGTTAAGACTCCATGCTTCCAACACAGGGGGTGCAGGTTCGATCCTTGGTCGGGGAACTAAGATCCCACATGCCACACGGTGTGGTCAAAAAATTAAAAAAAAAAAAAAAAGATTTAATTAAAAATCCTGAACGAGAAGAGGAATTGGACTCAGGGGCAGAGAGGGGTTCAGAAGTGGGCATCTACCTTTCCCCAGATCACTGATTCTCCATCCATTCACAAATGCTTCCTGAGTACCTATGCTGTGCCAGGCATCATGACAGGTGCCAGGTAAACAAACGTGAACAAAAGAGTTGAGAGTCCTATCTTTGGGTTGGTTATACTCTGGAAGCGCGTCTATTTGTTTTGTGTGGTTGGGCACAGCGTTCCGGGGAGAGGGTGGAGGGAATGACACGGAGCAGGCACGTGGGCCACGGTGAGGGATCAGGGTAACAGTCTACACTCAGGGATACTTAGTTTTTAGAGCTTGTTTCAAAGGCATAAAAATTCAAGTGGTAATAACACGTAATTCCATCCCCACCCTGGCCCAGTTGCGGCTTATTTGTACACACTTCCCCGACAGGCAGCTTCGACACGACTCACTGCATCTCTCCAAGTATGCAGGCTGTTTCCTCCATTTGCCCTTCTCCCAGGGCCAAACTCATCTCAAAATATTTTGCTCATGATTCCAAAAGGAATTCCATAATCCAGTGTTTTCATTTTTCTAATAAAAAAAGCCAGCTGGGCTTCCCTGGTGGCGCAGCGGTTGAGAGTCCGCCTGCCGATGCAGGGGACACGGGTTCGTGCCCCAGTCCGGGAAGATCCCACATGCCGTGGAGCGGCTGGGCCCGTGAGCCATGGCCGCTGAGCCTGCGCGTCCGGAGCCTGTGCTCCGCAACGGGAGAGGCCACAGCAGTGAGAGGCCCGCGTACCGCTAAAAAAAAAACAAAAACAAAAAAAAAGCCAGCGTCCAAACCTCCGACTACATCCGGTAACCTGCTTCTCCGCTTACGCCTGCAGCCTACAGAATCCGGCATCTAATAAACTGGGATGGTCTCTGGCCCCTCCTTCCCTTTTGCCTCTGATATGCGCTGAAGGCATATCAGATTCTCAATTCTGGCTGCCCCTTAGAATCTTCCAGGGAGCTTAGAAAACTAAGATACCAGCCCCACCCCAGACCAGTTCAATCATATCCTTGAGAGAGCAGATGCTAAATTCTCCAGGCTTATTACCTCCGTTACCTTTGCAATGTGTCTATTTGATCTGGCACCTAATAATTTGAGCCTTCATCACCTCTTAGTCTGCTAAATGAACAGTATTTTAATTGTTCTTTCCCTCTCTTCATCAAAGCAGTGCTAGTGGTGGTGGTGGTGATAGTAGCAAGCTAGCCACCACTGAGTCTTATTCTGTGCAAGTTACAATTCTAAACTCATTACAATGCGCGGCCTCATTTTCACACAACTCTGAGGTCAAGTCCTCTTCTAATTCCTGTTTTATAGATGAGGAAACCAAGGCAAAGAGAGATGAGGTAATTTCCTGCAGCTGCACAAGTAGGAAGAGGTGGAGGTGGGATTCAAGCCCACTTTATTAAACAACCTCCAACACACAGGCATCTCAGGTCTGGCTCCTACATACACGTACACACGTGTCTCTCAGAAGTCAGAATGAGAAGGCCTGACTTGAAAATGGAGAATGGCGGTCTTCTCCCAGTCTACAGAATTTCAAGTTAATGTTAAGGGTTTCTCCCATGAATGTTCTTTAAGTTTTTGAGGTCTGTTTATCTATATTAGTGTGCAGAGTGTAATAATATACAACTTACTGGAAAAGTATCCATTTTGCTGTCTACCATGTAATGTATCCACCGTTCCCGGTTTTCCACTCTCAGACAAAACATGAGCCCCTGCTCCACCGCAGTCCTGAGATCGTGTCAGTATAACACACGTCTGCAGTGGCTGTAGGTTTGCCTGGCAGTGGGAACTATGGGTAGAGAACCTTGTTAAGAGCTTAGGGATCTCATATATTTTCATGCCACTTACAGTGAGATAATAAGTGAGGATAAGCAACTGATTTATTTAAGGAAAAGAAAATGGAAGCTTAGGGCAAAAAACCCTTGATAATGTCTATTAATACAGTCTCCCGGAGCCAATGCAAGAATTACAGGAAGCAGAGGGTTGAGAAAAAGTTGGGCAAATAACTAGACTAGGTATCAGATGGCAAATGGATCGGGGATGGAGGTGGAAGGTCTAGCTCTTGCGTGAAGTTGGGCGGTGAACATTAGAAGGGAAATAACATGATGCATCACAGGAGGTGGAGGGCCATACACAGGCTTTTGATTTCATTTTTCAGAGCTGGATTGCTCTGCAACAGGGAGGATGGGAAACTCAAAGAGTCCGTGTGTTAATTTTAAAGAGAATTCACTTCCTCTAAACGTAAATGAAGATTTTAGAAGATACGAAGACAGTATGTGAAGGATACTGGCTGGGGGATGCCACAGGATGGGTGGGGTGCGAGCAAAGATTTGAAACAGAGACAGCTGTGCTGGGAGGGGACAAGCCAACTTTGTTGGGGGGTGGGGGTGGGGGTTGGGATGCCATGTCCTCCACAATGACTGACCACTAGAGGGCGCCTGTACCTCGCGCTCCGGATCCCAAGCTGTCCTGGAATCTGGAAGGCCACAGGCCCTACAGGCTACTCAGGACTTGGTGACTGGCCACAGACCTCTCAGGGCAGCCTGCACAGGACGGCTGGCCCTGTTGCTCACTGGTTTCTCCTAGAGATTGTGAAACAGCAATCCCCACGTGTCTCCCCAGTGGATGGCTATGACGGTCACCTCAGAACTACACATGACATTGCTTTGTGAACTACCAAGGGCTCTGCCAACTTTAAGCTGCTCTCATGATTCCTGGAAATCATACGGGCTCGCTGTGCCATTATGTATCTCTCTATGTATACCTTCCTTCTCCTCAACTAGGCTCTAAGCTTTTAACGAAAAAGGGCTATGAGGATATCTTAAAACATCCTGAAGGAGATGAAATACTATGTCTGGATTTGCTTGAAAACAACCCAGTGTGGCTGAAGGGAAGCACTGAAATTTACCCTAATAAAGTTTTAGAAGCATCATGTATTCCCAGGTCTCCCTGTCTGTAAAATGGATGAGTCACACCAGCTGGGGTTCCTTCTAATTGGACCCTCTGTGTTTCTAAGATCCACTGCACAGGGGACAACAACAGTTAGCTTGTGAGGCATGTGGGTTGCCCCAAGCTCCTAAGAAAGTCCAGGAAAAGGGGGTGCAGGGTCCCGGCTGGGAACATCTCCTGTCCTAACGATTTCAGTCTGTTGCAAGCCCAGGTGAGGAGACCTGTCAGATCCCATTTCTCTTCCTCCTGGGACACTCCAGACCTTCCTTTGTGGCTGTGTTGCCTCGGACCTTGGCAGGAAGGCCTCAGTTGCCCCTCGGGATTTTTGTTTGCCTATGTTTTAATTTAATTCTTTTCTCTAACATCCTTTATAGAAGAGCCTCTTCAAGTGTCGCCATGCAGCTCTGCAGGAGAATCGGGGGCTGCTGACCGAGCTCCAGCGGGAGAGAAAGGAGAGAATGGAGAATGCCACTGCTCAGGTGGAGGGGCAGCAGGGGAGGACGGGGGTCACCAGCCAGGGGCAGCGCTGGCGTTTCCGATCTCACAACATCCCGGGTGGTATGAGCGTGTGCCAAGGTGGCAGTGATGGGGGCGTGCACGGGCAACACCCTAACTGTTGTGCCCCTGACTCGTTCGGCTCACACACTTGGGGCAATACTTGCTAGAACTGCGGGAAGGTGGAGGCAGGGACATGGGACAAGACAGTGAGAGTGTCCCTTCCATGCTTTAAGGAGAAACGGACTTACCAAGTGTGCTGGGGACGGTGACCTGGTATCCTTGACCGTGGCGCTGGCGGGGACATCGAGGAGGGGCCATTTCATCTGCAGGTACTGCACAGGGGACAGAAAAGAATGCAGCTGGTGAGCGGGGGCCTCTCGTGCACCCCAAGTGAGCAGGGAGGCGCTCTGTGGTGTGGGGGTACGACCGTGGCTTATTTTACCTGCACGCTCCTTACTGTGTCAATGGCCAGAGATCAGAAGAGTGTAGAGCATACATCGACAACCACTACTGCCACCAGCCCCTCTGTCATTCTGGGGTAAAAACATGACAGCACAACTGACCAAAGTATTCAAAGACCCTATTGGTGAGGGTCTTTAGTGGTGGGACAAGCAAGGCGCATCAAGGGACCCAGGGTTCCCAGATGGTGATCCTGCCTGTTCATTTCCATCTCTTACAGCAGCACACACAACACTCCCCAGGAGATAAACAGCCTCTCCAGAACTATCTGGTGAATGAATGAATAAAAACCATCTGCCTGACACTTCCAGGGTCACGACTAGTATCTGTGCATATTCAAGGTGTGGATCTTTACTTCATTGTAGTGTTTCTCGATCTTGAAAAGATTTTCCAGTACCCTACCCTCTCCCATGTATTACTGCAAAAAAACCAAACCAAACAATAAATCCCCAACACACACACACACACTGTCTTTAAATGAAAAGCCTCTCCTCAACCCCCGCATGGCAGGGTGTTGGGCAAGAGTCTGGGAGAGAATGGGTGGAGAGGCAGTGATGGGCTCTGGAGTTGAGAGTTCATAGGTTCAGGTTCTCACTCTGCCGATTATGCTGCGTGACCCTGGATAAGTGTCTTAACGACTCTGAGCCTCAGTTTCTTCATCCATAAAGCAAGGTGGTTATCACTAACTTTATACGTTGTTAGAAGGATTAGGGACAATGTCTAGTATTGAACACAGTGCTGTGCACGTGGAAGACATTTGATAAATGGAAGCTATTATTTTCATAAGCAAACCATTAGTCTTTGCCAGGAGCAAAATACACATGTTGTCCGAGTGTCAACACTGATATGGTGCTTCTGGGCAGCAGACCAGCCATGCAGCCGCTTTGCAGAATTCTTGAGGCCACTTTGAAAATTCGAGCTCTGATAGAATGTGGTGGCTCCAGGAAGAGTTTCCCAAGGAGACAGAAAGAAGTCTTTGAATCATCCCTTGCTCTGGTCATTCAATTTCAGGGGAGGGGGAGAAAAATCATGATTTGGCCTTGAGCTCTGAGCACAGGTCAGGAAAGGAGGATGGGCAGTGCCCCTTTACTCTCCATCAACCACAAAAATTGACTGAGAGGGCAGGGGCTGGGCTTTCCAAAAGGTATCCACAGGCAGGAATAATAACCCAAGGACACATCTGCCAAGGGCCAGCGAGTGGCAGAAACAGCAGCTGGGATGGGCCAAGGATGCCTGGCCATGGGAGGTGGGAATGAATAAGGACTGCTCCACTCGGGACCCTCTGGTGCCCTGCCCCTCCCCCCAACTGAATGTCATCTCTATCCCTGTGCTTTGCTGATCCTATCTGCTTCCTTCCTTCACACCCTCACTCACCTATTTCCCTTCCCAGGAGCCTACACTTCCTAGATGAACTAACCGCGATTTAAATGCCTTTGGCAAGTTAATAGCACTGGACAACATCGGTCTAGTGAGTTAAACTCATTTCCTCAGTGAACAACAACATTTGTGCTACGGTGGCAGTTTTCAAAGCAGACTTACACACGTAAACCAGTTTAATCTCCACAGCATCCCTGCTACGACAAGTCACGGTGACTGTCCTAATTTTCCGACGAGCTAATGGAGGTAAATTCAGGGTGAATGACTTGCCCATGTTATGAGGAGTTGGAGCTGAGGTCTCTTGACTTCCAATCCCACACTCTTCGCCACAACACGAGTCATAAAGCTTTTCATAACACTGTCCTCTTGAACATTCCATTGCCCCCCCCCCCCCACAGCCTTTGCTCTGATGGCCTTTTCTCTCTCCTTTTCTGTCTCGCACAGGGTTGGCCACCCAGAAGCTGAATGAATACATACACGGCCATGTTCTCCTGTAGGGACACTTGAGGTGGCTGGAGCTTACTTACCCTCGAGTGCTCACCATCACATTCATTTCTCTACAAGCAATATCAGGAGATATTGCTAAGAAGAAGCGTCCCAAATTTACCCCTCGCCACATGAAACACAAAAGAAGTGTTCCTAAAATCCATCAACTCTACCCGCATCTGATTCCCTATTTAGAGTCACAAAGATCCACACTGAACACTTCTTCACTCTTGTTGCTTACCAGGAATGTTTCTTAGACCACGTCAGGGTGGCCCAGAGAAATCGATCTGAATCCTGGTTTGGGACAGGGCTGCAGTTTTGGGTCTTTAAGAATACTACCCGCTGACCTTATGGGCTGTTAGACATAGCAGGCTTGTAGGGTGCTTGCACAGAGTTTCTCAACCGTGGCGCTTTTGACATTTTGGGCTAGAGAATTCTTTGTCGTGGGGCTGTCCTGTGCATCTTAGGATGTTTACCAGCATCCCTGGCTTTACCTCCTAGAATCCAGGGACGCTGCTAAACATCCCTGCCAGTAGCTCCCACTCTCCGGCCCAGTTGTGATGAGCAAAAATGTCTCCAGACTTTGCTAAATATCTCCTGGAGGGGCAAAACTGCCCCCCCCCCCCCCAGTGAGAACCACTGCTCTAGTGGTTGAGGAGCTGGTACCCACTATACTGTAAGATGCATGAGGGTCCACATGCCTTGGTACTGGGGCGATCAATGTACAAACATACATATAAACACATACACACACGCATAATAAGGGTTTTTAGTAGTAGCTACTATTTGTGATTGTCTATCATGTGCTTGGTGGTTACGTACCCCCCAAGACGTCTGGGCTTCTGATGGGAGGAAACCACAGTAGCCTCTTCTCCCCTTAAGGTCCACTCTTTTTTTTAAAAATTGAAGTATAGTTGACTTACAATGTCAGTTTCTGGTGCACAGCTGAGTGATTTAGTTATACATGTATATGTATATTCTTTTTCTTTATAGGTTATTACAAGATATTAGATATAGTTCCCTGTGCTATACAGTAGGACCTTGTTTATCTATTTTATATACGGTAGTTTGTATCTGCTAATCCCAAACTCTTAAGTTAGCCCTCTCCCACCCCATTTCCCCTTTGGTAACCATAAATTTGTTTCCTATGTCTGTGAGTCTGTTTCTGTTTTGTAAATAAGTTCCTCTGTATCATATTTTAGATTCCACATGTAAGTGATGTCAGATGGTGTTTGTCTTTCTCTGTCTGACTTACTCCACTTAGTATGATCATCTCCAGGTCCATCCATGTTGCTGCAAATGGCATTACTTCATTCTTTTCTTTTTATGGCTGAGTAATATTCCATTGTATATATGTACCACATCCTCTTTATCCATTCATCTGTCAATGTACCTTTAGGTTGCTTCCATGTCTTGGCTATTGTAAATAGTGCTGCTATGAACACAGGGGTGCGTGTATCTTTTCAAATTACAGTTTTCTCCAGATACATGCCCAGGACTGGGATTGCTGGATCATATAGTAACTCTATTTTTAGTTTTTTTTTTTAAGGAATCTTCATACTGTTTCCCATAGTGGCTGCACCAATTTATATTTCTACCAACAGCGTCGGAGGGTTCCCTTGTCTCTACAAAGGGGCCACTCTCACTCATTAATTTTAATGAAACCTGGAGGCTTGGAGGGTGGGTGAAAATTTTTAGCCCTGCCCACTGCTGAAGTCTGGCTCCTTACAGATAAGACAGGCGTGGAGAGGTGGTGCTGGGAATAGTGTGCGTCTTCCCAGGATCCTTCCTGCTCCAGTTGATGACGGGGGCTGGGGGTGTGTGCCTGTGTTCAGACAGGGCTTCATTCCGAGTCGTAGGGAAGTGGAGGGCTGTCACTTCCCCTTTTCCACTTTTCTGCTTTTTTTTTAAGATTTTGAAACCAGTGGTGGGAGTAGGGGATGGGAGAAGACCTGTAAGAGTTGGAGTCCCTGCAGCTTAGTCATGGAAGGCCTCTGGATTGTAATTCTGAGGAAAGGAGCATTCTAAAGGGACAGTTGAGCTTCCCAGAACCATGAGTTGGGGCAGAAGGAGGTAGCAACACCGCTTATAACCCTTCCCAGCCTCTTTCCCAGAAATCTGGAGGTGGCTGTGCAGTTCTGAATTCCTAGGTCAGGCTCAGCCCAACGATCAGCTGAAATAAATCTCTCTTGGCTGTAATTCTCATGTGTGGCCAGCCCCACAGGGCTAATCACTCATTGGTGGGGAGCATGTTCTTGTGGATTAAGAGATGTGTGGCTAAGCCTAGATTCCCTGCACAGTAATGGCTTGTGGGCAAATTAAAACTGCTGGCTTCTCCAAGCCCAGGCTAGGCTCCATCCAACTGGCCACAACTGGATCCTGACCAGTCTATCATGGCCAGACTTCAGCACCTCCCTCCTGGGGGATGCGCACCGTGATGGAACGCATGGGACCCGTGTGGCATCAATGCACTGATGGCCAAGCAACAGCAGTAGCCACCACTTATGGGATAAGCGCTCTCTTCTGATTCTCAAAAAACAGAAAGAAAAAACTAAACCCAAATGGTGAGGACTGTTAACCCTCAATCTACAAATGCTACTGAACATGCTGTTGTGTGCGGTGACTCTCTGAGACAGGCCAGACAGGCAGTTTACCAATCTTACTGAATCTGGGAAACTCTTTTTGTGGGACTGGAGTTCCGTGGAATGCACTTGGGGAAGTCCTTTTTTTTTTTTTTTTTTTTTGGCGACGCCGCGTGGCACGTGGGATCTTATTTCCCCGACCGGGGATCAAACCCATGTCCCCTGCAATGGAAGCTCGGAGTCTTAACCACTGGACCACTGGGGAAGTTCCCTCCCCTTTTTTTTTATAGTTCGTTTACAATGTCATGTTAGTTTCAAGTGTAGAGCACAGTGATTCAGTCATACATACATATATATCGGAAGTTCTGCTATTGTGGTTCACAGTTAAGTATAGTGAGGCTGTGGTTTAGAGCCTGTGTTTACCTTGT